AGGATCCGGTCGGATGGCGGTTCGGGGGACGGCAAACCGCTGGACTCGGGCATGCTGCACGCCGGCGACAGGCTCTCGGAGGGGGACACCAAGTGCTCCCAAGCCACCAGCCACAAGCTGGTCCAGCTCCTGGCCACCACGGCAGAGCAGCAGCTTCGACACGCCGACGCGGACACGAGCTGCAAAGATTCGTTAGTCTGCGCGGGTACCGGTGGCACCTTGGCCTCCAGCAACCCTCCCAGCAGCACCTGCCCTTCCTCCCATAGCTCGCTGACCGAGCGGCACAAGATTTTGCATAGACTCCTTCAGGAGGGCAGCCCTTCCGACATTACCACCCTGGCCATGGAGCACGAGAAGAAGGAGAACGCCCCAAACCCCGCCGCCACCCCCACGGCTCAGAGCCAGCTGCCGGGAACCGCGGACGTCAAGCTGGAGCCGGACGCGCTGAAGAAAAAAGATGTCAAGGATCATCAGCTCCTGCGCTATCTGCTGGACAAGGATGAGAAGGAGCTTGCTGCGGCCCCGGCGCTGAGCCTGGATGATGTGAAGGTGAAGGTGGAGAAGACAGAGCAGATGGAACCCTGTAACACAGCCCCAGTGCCGCTCACCAAACCTTCTGCCACGGAGGAGGTCAAGCTGGAGACGCAGGGCCAGGTGAGTTGACCCATCTGTGTCCATGCTGGTGGGATGGTCTTGACAAGTCATGTTTTGGAGGCAGCTACCCCAAACCTGCTCCCTCTGCAGCAAGGCGGTGGGGCTGGAAGAAGCATGGGGAGATGTCCTGTGGCTGCTGCAACCTTCTGTGCTGGTGCCACCTTCTCCAGCATTGATGCCACCTTCTGCAGTGCTGGTGCCACCTTCTGCAGTGCTGGTGCCACCTTCTCCAGCATTGATGCCACCTTCTGCAGTGCTGGTGCCACCTTCTGCAGTGCTGGTGCCACCTTCTCCAGCACTGATGCCACCTTCTGCAGTGCTGGTGCCACCTTCTGCAGTGCTGGTGCCACCTTCGCCAGTGCTGGTGCCATCTTCACTAGTGCTGGTGCTACCTTCTGCAGTGCTGGTGCCACCTTCTCCAGTGCTGTTGCCACCTTCTGCAGTGCTGGTGCCACCTTCTCCAGTGCTGGTGCCATCTTCACTAGTGCTGGTGCCACCTTCTCCAGCACTGATGCCACCTTCTCCAGTGCTGGTGCCACCTCCTCCAGTGCTGGTGCCACCTTCTCCAGCACTGGTGCTACCTTCTCCAGTGGTGGTACCACCTTCTCCAGCACTGGTGCTACCTTCTCCAGCACCAGTGCTGTGCCCGTTTGTCCAGATGCTTCATGTTTTGGTAGCTTAGATCTTCAAGGCACTGGGTGGAAGGGGAGAAAATTTACCGAGGTGTGTAAAAATGAGAAAGAAACAGAGCAGGCCACTGCAGGTGGTGGGCTTGAGTGAGGAGAAGACCACGTGTGTGTTGCCATGTGAAAAGGTTCTTAATTCTGCATCTCTGGGCACATTCAGGGCTCGTGTCCCAGGGTATTTTCAACGCCCTGTCCTCTTGTTGGCTGCGATTAGTAATTATGCGGGCCTTTTAGTTATCCTAAAAGTATTATTAAATTGAATAATCCAGTGACAGATCTCTGCAATAGAGATTTGGGTGCATAAATATTCATTACACGCAGCTATGAATAGAAGAGATTTCTTCTTCTTGAAAGCCAGGGGAGATGGTAACGTGGATAAGGCTGCTTAATCCTTTTGAAGCAAAGAGAAGAGAGCGGCCGACGTGAAGAGCGGGGCTGAGCGCCTGCTTACTGACCGGCTTCTGGAGATACGGGGTGGAGAACAGAGCTCTCGGAGAGCCTCCAATGGCAAATACACAATGAAGTCTCCTCAGAAGGTGAAGGGCTCAGCTGGCTTGGGAGTCACGGTCGGTTATCCCATAAACGAGTGGGAATCGAACTGCTTATCTCTTCCTTAATGGACTTTCCTGGTGTCATCTGCTTGCTGGATGGTGCGTCCTCCCCATCATCTCCCGTTTGGGATCCGTTGTCTAGATAACGGAAATGGCCTCTGGATGAGGAAGACCCAAGTCAAGAGGTGCTTATTTTGGGAGGCACACTGGAGCTTGAAGGAGGACGGTGAACCTTCTCCCAAGTAACCAGCGACAGGACGAGAGGCAGTGGCCTCAAGTTGTGTCAGGGGAGGTTCAGATTGGACATCAGGAAAAATTTCTTTCCCGCAAGAGTGGTCAGGCCTTGGACCAGGCTGCCCAGGGCAGGGGTGGGGTCCCCATCCCTGGAGGCGTTCAAAACACATGGAGATATGGAACTTCAGGACCTGGTTTAGTAGGCATGGGGGTGTTGGGTTGATGGTTGGACTTGATGATCTTGGAGGTCTCTTCCAGCCTTAATGATTCTGTGATTCCAACGCGGTACCCACCGGTGAGCCGAGTCCCCAGCGTGGTGCTCCTGCAGCGGGCACGGCCTCCTGCCAGGAGATGCACCGGCTCTTGGATGGAGCCGCCCCAACCTGCTTTCTTGGAGCTGGGAGCACATCAGGGAGCGCGGTTTTAGCCAAAATTAGGCAAAATGCCGGGACGTTGGAAGAGCTTTGCTCGCCTGCTCTCCCAGACACCCGTGTGCAGGATGCGCTCGCTGGGCGGGGATGCAGGCAGGCTCTTTGCTGGCCATGGGTGATGGTTCTGGGTGCTCCATCCTTTGGAGAGGGCAGAGGCCCGATGAGTTAAACGAGGCTGTGCGAGCTAATTGCCTGCTAGCTTGGAGGGCTCAAGCCTGGATGTGTTTATAAGCCCCTCTCCTGCGCTGTTGGAAGCAGACGAGCATTTTTTAGGCTCCCTCAGGCTTTTTGGTTCCAAGAATCCCTCCCCAGGCAGCTGGAGAGCGTCAGGATTATACGTTGGACCGTACCGAGTGCTTCCAAAGAGTTAATAAAAGAGGCTGGAGAGGGTTTGCAGAGTCTTAAAATGCGTTTTCTGAGGAGCGAACAGCCCTTCGCTGCTCAGCAGCTGAGGACAGAATTTCATTTCCACGTGTTTTCTGTTACAGGCTGCTTCAGTGAGGCGTGGGGAGGGGGAGCTGCCATTTCAAATAAAATCTAGCACTGGCTAGATCTTTGTTTTCATGTGCAGTTATTTGAAGAACTGAAATGTCAATTAGGAGTGATATTAATTGTGGGGCAGGCTCTGCAGCTTGCCTTCAGCCTTGAAGGAATTATTTCTTGTGAGACCCCACCTGGAGTCCTGCATCCAGCTCTGGAGCCCCCAGCATAGGAAGGACATGGATGTGTTGGAGCGGGGCTAGAGGAGGCCACGGAGATGATCCGAGGGCTGGAGCACCTCTCCT